GGGTATCCGGTCAAGTGACTGCGGCGCGTTTCGCAGCTGGATGCCCCGCGGCGAAGCACGACAACGCAACGTAACGCAGCGCGGTGCAGCGCGGTGCAGCGCAACGCAATGCAACGTGGCATGCTGCAATTCGCTCTGCAACTGTTCTCGTCGCATCGTCACTGACGCCGCGCTGCCGCAGCTGCAGCTGCCGCCGCCTCTGCCACCGATCTTATTGATCTATGGTAGAACCATTAACCATCAGAGCGTGCACCGAATGTTTCGGAACTAATTTAAACTTAGCCGCTTCTCCGCCCGCGGCATACACGACGTCGAATTAAAGACTTCGCTCTATCTCTACTCTGTCGTGTGTACATTGATATGTGCCGAGTCTTCGCCGATTAAAACGACCGCGACACGTTGCGATTCCGTTTGCGCCCCCGTTGGGTGTTTGTGTGCTCGAATATTGATATTATACATTTCAAGGCACTTGGGTATCTTCTGGCGCTTGTGACTCGAGATGTTTTTCGGTTTTAAAATAATTTTCAAACATTGAAATTGAAATTAATTAAATCATACATAAATTCGAATGAATATCGTAAAAAACAAAGAAGAATTTACAGAAAATAAATTGAGAGCTTCCTTCCTAACTAAATAGAAGTTTGACGAGAGAAGTTTGTAATACTTAATTTCAATTTTTGTTATTTGATATTTTTTATCTACTATTTGGATTTAATGAATCAATTTTTATGTAAAAAAAAATGAGCGTTCATAATATCGCGCTAAGCGCCGAGTGATGTCGAAACTGACACATTAGTAAGATTGATCTCGATACGTTTGTGGTCATACGAGATAAAGCTCGAAAATTTCGAGCTTTCTTGATCTCTTTTATGCTCGAATTAAATGATGAAAACGTTAATTAAACGGTTTTTCCGATAGTTAATCACAATTTTGCCACCGGCAACGAACACCCACACTATGTTCCGCACTAATTAACTTTTGGATGCATACATCTAATTTTTTTTCCTGCACTTTCGATTAATTTTTTTATTCTGCTGGCGAATAATTTTCAGACCAACCTTAATCTACTTTTTTTTCCAGAACGTGGAGTATTTAAAAAAAAAAAAAAAAAAAAAAAAAAGAATTATTTTGCTTTTACTTTAATTACTTCAGCTCTTCATTATGAAAGCATATAGCCTAAGGTTAGAAAACGTGGCGCCCAAAATGTAACAATATTGCGATATAAGCTATATAGAGCCTGGAATACTAAACCGGCAATAATTTTATGGAAATCAAGCGTTGCTACCGCTGTACGTGCCATACAGACGATGGAACGCGCTTATACGGTAAGAGAAGAATGAACGAGGACCAAGGCATCGTGCAACGGCATATAGTTACAAGTATATTATGGTTTCTCGGCTTAAACTGGATTTCAAACGCGCGCGAGCGTTATCGTCCCAACACACTGTGATTGTTGGGGAAGTCCGCGTATATACGCACCGGGCGAGGCACATACAGCATTCAGCTTAAGGATATAATGCCACCTGTACCTAATCCTACTTTTGACTGACGCATCATCATCGAGTTTCACGAGAATCTCTATAAAAGAAACTTTTTGCATAACGCGATAATTCCTTCAAAAGATTATGTTCGATTCTAATTCTCGCGAATAATCGTGCGACGAAATCTTTAAATCCTATTAAAGTATTCGCATTAAAACTATTAGGTGTACAAATTAGTTCGGTCCGTTTTTTTTGTGTTCAAAAATGCAGTTATTTCAAAACGAAATGAATGAACAGATTAATTAAAGTATGGTCCATCGCTACTACTTTTTCCCATCTCTCAGGCAATTTTCGAAATCTCGACAAAATGACTCGTCTTTGGAGGCGATCATCTTTTGGAAAACGGACCGTACTAATTAGTACTCCCAATAATTCGCGTGTGAAAAGAAAATAATATCCAGAAAGATAGAGGAGAGATACGTGAAAATTCTCTCTCTCTCCCTGCCTCTCTATGCCAAATAACGAAAGAATATTCAAACGGAAAATGGCTGATCACTGGTAATTTTATTAGCTAAATAAACGTAATATCCCTTTTTCTAAACTAAAAATATTGCCGAACAATGTAATATTTTTTAACATATTGTGAATGCAGGAAATGGAATATCGGTATAGAACGATACGATATCGTGGGATCACTCTATCTTCGGCAAGCCCGGCGACTAATCCTGCACCCGGCAAATACCGTAACCGAAAAACGAATAGAAATAAAAAAATAAACGCCGCGCGTACGTATATACCGTTCGCGTTCCAATATGCCGACGCGCACGAGCAGGACAGCTTCGCGAAACACGTTACAAATTTTGATTGAATAAACGTTGGATCGTTTCGCTTTCGGCGCGCTGATTTTTGCGGAATTAAATGACGAATGCAGCGAGTGCGGAAAGATACGCGCCGCTTCGAAAGACAATCTATATGTTGAAAGAGATACAACGGATGAAATAAACCAGTTTACTGCTCCGCCTCGTGCGCCGTTACATGAAAAAACTTCGTTTTATCGCTATATGCGCGATTAGATCATACATTGATTATCCCGTTATAATATTAATGAAATTGAAAGAAAATTATGGATTCTCGTCGTAATTTTATACTTGATCATTCTCGTGTCATTTTTTTTGTATTCATTTGCTCGTTTATTTATAATACAAAATAAGTATTTGGCTCACTATATTTCGTCACATCGAAATAAATGTGATAACAGTCTTCAATCATCTGACAATAAGATTTTATAATCTCGTTTGTCCAATATAAATCTTAATATTTCTCTCGTATAAATTTGTAAGAAAGTTCTGCGCTGATTATTGGAGAAAATCGAATGTATAAATTATTTTAATGTTTTATTTCGAAAAATCATGCCACAGTACTAATTCCACCACTAATTTTTTCATCGTCTGTCATTGTTATTACCGCGATTTGCTGTCGGCATTAAGAATATTTCATTCGCGTGTGCTTTGTTATTTGCGTTTGTGCATGTCTCTCGAGTTTATTCACCAGCAACGCTAACATCATCAGCGTTCTCGCTGCTGAGTCCAGAGACGTGAACCGTGAAGGTCTTTATTTGAACATCACCCTTTCATTTGCCGACACAATTTACTGATTGGACACAATTCTCTATCCTCTCGTTGCTTTTGCCATTACGTTTTGAATTAATTCATCCGCGAGTATATGTGCCGTTTCATATTAAAAATTCTGCAATAAAGAATAGCGTCTCAAGCGCTAGGTAGATTGCATCTCAGCGACTATTTTGTACACTATGGAAACGTTTACACGTGTAAAATAGGTACTTCCATACCAGCAAGTGTTACGAGTGTTGGGCGGCATTTTTTAGTAACTCGTTAGGAAACTAATTTAACTTCGCAGTAGCTTTTAATGCGAACTGCATCGGCTTTATGCGACGTAGTCGACACAAGAGTAACACGAGGTCCATCTTTGTTTTAAAGCACGCTAACAAAAGAGAACCTCTTGCGGAAGTGCTATATACAGTGAAGCGGAAATGATGATACAACTGAAAAGGAGGTCATTTCTCACACTAAAAGAAGCTTGACAGTGCAAAATAATTTGTTTGACATCGTGTCGGCAGTGGCGGTCAACATAAAAATATATAATTTTTCGTTAGAAAATAAAGTTCACATTTTACAGTTTCCCTCAATTTTATATATATATATATATATAATACTTTTATAGAGTGATTTAAATTCTTTTAAATTAATTCACTAAAGAAAAATTTAATAACTGTTGATGTTTGACAATATTTTTACTCGACACATCAAGAGTTCAGCTGTAAAAAAAAGGTTCTAATATTTAGAACAGAATTTCTCGGACACGTAGTCACAGATAAAAAAATATACTCTGTATACTTTCTGGGCGAGTTTTTAATTTATCGATTGATCAATCGATGAATTAAAAAACTCGTTCTCTATTTCTATTTGACAATGATACACTATATATATATATATATATATGTATATGCATATGTATGGGTTGGTGAGTTTCCTATACACACCTATAAGTTTTGTCTTTCTTCGCATATTATATGTCTCTACGTCCACAAATACATAGATCTCTACGCGACGTGAAATATTTTTTCATGACGCGCGCAAGTCCTACGGGCACCCGGGTGAATGTGTATACACTTTTTCGACACGGTAGAAAATCAATACCTTGCGGCCGGAAATTGAATTTGAACGAGTAAACAGGCCAACGGCGTATTATAGCATGTTGATATAACATATAGATTTTTAAATAATCCTTTACTGATAAAAAGTTCAGTTCTATCAGTAGGAAATTTAAGCGCGGTTAAGTTCGCTTTCGAGAGAGCATATATATCGAAAAATATTAATATATAGGATAATTCGCAGTTGTTTCAAACATTATTTCAGTTCTAAAACTAAAAAGTGGCCAAAAGTTAGTTATCCAATAAACCAATTTCCCAATCTTTTCCTATCTAGTAACGAAAATAAAAGAAACATTTTCTAAAGAGGACGGTCCAAAAATAATACAGAAAAATTAGCGGTTGAAAGATTACGTTGAAATTAGATATTCTAGATAGTCAAATCTTGGGATTCTACGGATTCTGTATCCGACTTGAGCTGAAACATGTTTGGCTGGTTTAATTTACAATTAAACACAAATACCTCGAGAACATTATATTTTTGAAAAAAAAAAACTTCAAATAAAAGTTTAAGAGTTTGAAAAGAAACGAGCTACTTATAATAAAGTCTAGGTTGATTTTTTTCATACCGGGTCCAACAAGTGGACCCAAAAATCTAACTAGTAACGTTAGTTTCTTGATATCACTTTAGGAACGCTCTCTTGTAAGACAGGAAGTTCTATATTATGATCGCAAATCGCAGTGTATTTTGCATAATTGCAGTATCCGCGTGCATGTTGCGCGGTTGATGAAGGAATTCATTTGAGCGTGAAAACAGAATTTCCGGAATTATCTTATCCGCTTATACTTGCCTTCTTCATCGCTACCGATCATGGCGTATCGCTCGTATCCGGTGAGATTCCTAACAGCTCCTAGGCCGAAGTCATCCTTGGTCCATTGAATGGGCCCCTTTTGATCGAGAACTCGGCATGGAAGCGTCACCCGGCTGCCAATCACCGCGGTTTGATCCATCGGCTCGATGGCGAATCGTTGATAAACTACTTCCGTCGTTGTAAACGGCTTCAGCGTCGACACTACCATGGACGACGCGTTTGTCACGTTCATAGCTGCCACTGTCTTCGCCTCCATTGTCATCAGCAGCGAGAGGCAAATTATTAACGATACTGTTCTTCGCCCGACTCTTCTGCTCTCGTTCCTGCGAATAGATGAGAAAAGATTTATTAGATCACATGTACTTGTAAGAATTGGATGTAATTATGCATTATGAAATTAGTTATCCTTCATTTCTTGTAATGTTACATCTGAAATGAAGGTATGACATGATATGTATGACTGATATAAACGCGATATCAAACATCTTAAGATATAAATTATTTAAATTAAATTTAAAACATCTTGAAATATCGTATATTCGATCTTTTAATCGAGATTGAAGAAAAAAAAACTGTTGCTTGGTGTCGAAAACCAAGTTTTGGAAAAAATTCTTTTCATAAATTTTTAGTACGCTTTTTTTCCCTCTTTATGTCATTTATTTAATGAGTATATAGGCCGCCGTCGTTTCTTACTCATTTACTTCGTCTTATCTAATTTATTTTTATAGTCCCATCGGATTCAAAAACGGAGTTGGAAGGCAAGGAGGTCGGTGCCGTAAAAGAAAAGCGATAAAAGTATTGCCGGGTGCTAGCAATTTAGTATTGGAAGTAAGAATGGAGGGGATGTGTTCTACACATACACGTATATATGTGTTCGTAGCTAAGAGCACATATGGAATCGCCATTATGAGGGAAGCTTTTTTACGACCGTAATATAGTTTTGTCGTGAAAATATATTACGTCTTCATAATTATCGCGCGGAGCGTTTTACGGAGTATTAAAACGAGCGATCGTATCGGATAAAAAAGGAGCAGTGATCTTTATTCAGAACTAAATAATTCAGAGATAACTTACAGGTGTATAGCTGTCAACTGTCGTTTCTCTTTCCTCTAGAAACGTTTCTTAGGAATCGATCGTTTGCTCCTTTCTAACAAAAGTTCCTCTTTCGTTTCAAACCTCTCGTTCAATGATGATATAAAAAGATCAAGAATGCTAATTGGCTACTTTCTGATTAATGATCTGAGACTCTATGGTATTTCTTAATTCAAAATGTACACGATATGAACATAAAAAACTACACACCGAGAAATCTCCTCAAAAGAACACATCAAAGTCAACAAAGAATCAAAATGATTTTATTTTAACTTTTAACGTCAATAAACAAATAAAAAAAATCATCAGTTTGATTTTCATGACGTCAAAATAAAGTGATTTTTATTTCCTCTTGATTTGGTGTGTTGCTTGGGTCAAGGATGAGTATTTCTCACAACAGATTTAATGTTCAATTATTGTTATTGACTCTAAGCGTTTCAAGCTGCGCGTTTATTAACGTAACTACTAGTCTTCCTCATCATTTGACAAAATAAACGGAAAACGCGCCAATCGTTCAACTGGATCTCTCGATCGTCTCTCATCGACCACTAATTAGTTTTCGTCGTGTCATTTATATTCGTATCGGCTATCTTCCGTCATCTAATAACGGATACAAGATGAGGTACTCGATTTCTACTCTCTTCACTCTATCTCGTTTGTGTGCGGAGCCGCTTCGTCATCTATCTACGTTTCCTTCGGTACGCCGTTCTTATTCGTCGTCGGTGAAATGATCGATAGAACTGAAAATCGCTCGAGGAGAGATTCTTGAGAACGATGTATCGTTCTCGTATGTCTTGTCGGGACTCGCGCAGTCTTCGCACAGACGTGGCGCCTCGGCGTCGCCCTATGTTATCGTCGAAGCCGTTCGTTATACTGGAGTTGCATCCCTCTCTCTCTTCCTCTCGCGATGCTTCTCGGAGCGGCAAAGTTACCGGGGTTCTCTACGAGCTAAGCGTTTCTTGTTACACTATGTTCCGTTGGTTAGCAGATAGAGGATGTCGTAAGACGATGGCTCATACGACATCGCACGCGGGCTGTTTCTTATGAGCTCAATAGGATAATAACCCCTGCGGCAGTCGCTGCCGCCGAATGTCCGCCCGAATGCTTTGAATGGAATATGCGAGTAACGAGCGTAATAATAATTGCGCTTGTGCCTCGTATTTGGGGCACCCCTCGCGTCTCGCGTCCCCGCGGCTGACAACGTGCTGTAATCATGTGGTGCGCGTTACAGGGCTTCGAATAATCTCTCTCGTTCGTAAGCGGTCTCACAAAGCGCGCTTCTTTTGACCCCCGTTAAGCCATTCTTCTGTCTTTGATGAACACGACTAGAGAGTATCGCACGATTATTTACCTTTAAAATAAAGTCACACATCTAACTACGATACTGCGTAACCGAGGCCGCTCAACAACAACGTGAGATCGACGTTCGCGAATATAGTTGTGTGTCGTCAGGTTATCTTGACATCACTCGAATAGATTTCCCGTTTATTCTCTCCATAATAATTTGCAAAAGGGAGTAAAAATAAATTTTGTATCGAATGCAATTTACTCATTTACTTGGAAAACATTTATCATATTTCGTGACGTCTATGACAAGGCACGCCACCAGCTTACGAAACAGAATTGGGTCATGTCGGAATTGGATGGGATACGTCCCAAGCGATTTTACTACCAGTGATTTTACATGTAAACGTATATCACGAAAATATCGCACGCGCGCGTTACGTCCAACGGCTTCTATCACGCCCATTGGCTTTTTATCATTCGCGAGAGTATCGGAAATTTCAAATCGCCTCGAACAGGCGCACGTAGGCGTATTCGTAGATTATACCGCTGGCCCCCGATAAAATAGAACACCCTGATACGAATCGTAAAACAATCAATCGCGATGTCGTCCCGGCAATTACTAGCTGCGATAATCACCAACGAATAGGCGAACGGGCGTTTAAATTTAAATAAAGTCACTAATCGAGACGGAGCGTTTGTCGAATCGGTTTGCCTGTCGAACGTCGCGTTGGCGGCTAGAAATTTTAACGCTCGAGAACATGAGAGAACAACTTCTCTCTCTCTCTCTCTCTCTCTCTCTCACTCACACTCTCTGTTTCTCTGTAAATGCATTCCGGTCGGCACGCTGCGTCGCGTCGAATCGATCGGTATCCTGATTTGACCTTCTAAATCAATTTTTCACGTTGCTGCTGCGCATTATTCGATACCCTGTTTTGTAATATTCAATTTTTTCCCAATTACTGCAATTCTCGCATTTACGTGAGAATTGCACGTTTCAAAAGTTTTGCATAAAATTAAATATTGCAATAATACAGACACTAATAAAAAATATACGCTATAAAAAATGTATCAATTAAATAGCGGTACGTTTATACTCATTTATATACATATATATATATATATATATTTAACGGCGCACGATTTCTATACAGATTTGCTAATTCATTTATATTATTATATAAGGAGTATTCATTTTTGATAGTATTGCACATAAAAAAAATTAAATATATTCAATTATTTTACGATTGCGGCTTAAACGCAAATTGAATGAATTTTTGCCGGAAATCAAATTTTGAATACTGTGTGTTTGCCGTTTGTATAAAAATGGCAAATATTTATCGCGCAAATATCATTTTCCTGCTTTACATTTCCCCATAGGCTTAACGTATACTTCGTATAATGGTGTTACATCTCTGAAATTTACCCAGCACAGCCTAGACGCGGATCTGGCGGATCTCACACCTAGGCGGTGGTAGTATAATCCACCGCACCGTACATGTCCCTCGGAAGGATCTTCCTCGTTCGAGCGTGGAAGACTCATGCCAAAGCTCAACGGCGCAACGTCACCGATCAATTTGTCATGGGATGACCCAGTATCAAAGATACGAGTCCCTTGGGTCAGTGTAACGTGTTTCTGGGAACGTTGATACATGCACACGGATACATGTGGCCGACGCGACGCGAGTCGACGCGAGTCGACGCGACGCGACGCGACGCGACGCGACGCGATGTGTATGTACACATATGCAAACACACGATGTGGCATACGCTGCAATATGTGTATGCACGCCATATGTCTGTGTCTCATGCGTGTTATGTGCGCGCTTGTTCGCCGGTCGCACGACTATCTAAATATAACCCTACGACCGTGTACACACGTATATGGGATGTATTCAATGGTTATCGCGATTTTCGATACTCCCCGACAAAGTCGGAAAATATTTCGTCATGCCGCTGCAGCTGACACTGCAACGGATAAGAGTGATGAGGGTGCCGTAGAATCAAGAATGCAGGAATCAATTTTCTGCATCCGCTCCGTTTATCCGCACTATATCTCAAGAGCTCGCTCTTTTTTTGTTTAAAAGAATCTGGGTTATAATAAAATTTCTTTATCGAATACCTTGATGATCGATCATTCCGTTAACCTGACGTCGAAAAAAATTTATGATTTTCAATATGTTTGTCGATGTCTTAACCGCTTCTTTCTCTCGATGTTATCTCGATACATTTTTTAGCATTTTATTTGTAAGTAATATAAAACAAATATACATTTATTTCGAGCTACATGAAAATCTACGACTATACTGATCGAGATAAAGGAATTATAGCATATATAAATTTACCTTATACATAATTTAAATTCGGAAAGCTGACAATTTGATATACACAATATTGAAATAGCCATCATTGAATAGCCATTTTACTTTATAGCACTGCTATTTTATATGATGTTCCTACATTTTGAACATCATGCGATGGATTTGTAGAATGGAATCGGATTTGCGACCACGGTATGTTTTATTATGTATGGAATGTGTTCCGACATAGTAGCATATTTTACTTTGAACACAAATTCTTTCGTGCATTGAAATTTAATGTTTTCGTGACGTAAAATTCGGCTGATAGTCATTATTTAGTGGATTTAACGTTTGGAATATTTTATCGCGTGAGAAATCAATTTTGGAATTTAAAACATTCTTTTTAAAATCTTAATAATTCTTATTTCGAACAGTTAAAAAATTTAACAACATCAAACGCTTGATAAATAAGACTGATAATTATTTTTCCCCTTAATCTCTTTAATATTAATCGTAGTCTGTTTAAATCAAGGTAAAAAATGAG